GGTATCTTTTCGGCGTTCCAATATGCCGAGGAACTGAAGCTGGCAATGCTGGATCAGATTGCTTCGTCTGTCACCGACTGTGAGGACTACGCCCGGGAGAAGACAGTTCAAGGAGTCGGTTTCATCCAAAATATCGGTCTTCTACACATTGGTGAAGATAAATTCACTCCACTCAACTTCCGTGCGGATGCGATGTTCCGCCGTGGTCGTCGCCACACCTTTGGCCGACAAGTCGACACTGAAGTTGAGCTGTGGGACTTCTTCGATATTGCTGGTCTCTGGGAGCGCCAGGAAAAGATGGCGGGAACAGGCGTTGCAATGACTGCAGTCACTGTGCTTGGCGGTAGGGCATTGGGCGGATTCAGTTGGGTGGATAGTGCCCTAAGTGCTATCAAGGTCATTGGCCCGAACAACATGCGCCGGCTTTTCTTCCCTGGCATCCTCGCTGCTGGTGAGTTTTTTCCCTTCCTTCTCACAAATAATAACAATATACTAACTTTTTCCAAGCTGTCCTGACCACAGCTTATGTTCTCAGCTCCATCCCGACCACCCTTCCTCCACGCCTGTCGCGAAAGATCGCCGCAACTCTTTCTGAGATGGATTATGTGCACTCGAATGCTAATCGAATCTCAAGTGAGGTTCGCCGCATGCTGCGCATGCCTGCCAACAATCTCCAAACCTGTCTATCTCAGGATATTGAGGATCTCGGCAGACGCAAGCAAGAGGTCACCAAAATCAAGCAGGAGAGTGATGTTGCCACCAAGTATTTCTCCAACCTGTTCCGGGACAGCAGTGAGAACCGCCGTTCTATCGAGAATCTGGATCTTGATGCTCCCTTGCCTGGCGGAATGGCTGCGGCAATGCAAGCATAGACCTATGTTCATCTCACCTTTGTACAACCACTCATGATTCCTACGATGTTTCTTTTTCGCTCTTTTTCTGTTCCACCTAACTTGTACAGTTTACATCTTTCCCTTGCCCATTCTCCATATTCTACTAAACTCCTATGATGTTCCTTCACGTCGGCTTTACTGTCATTTATGCCCGGGGCTCTCTTGTCTCGTTGGCTTTCATTGTATTTCATGGCGTGATGGCGTGCACCAGAGGGAGCCTAATTATCCAAGATTCCCCCTTGAATTAAGATTGCATCTAGTTCAAACTTTCTCTCGCTAGTGGCCTCAAGATCGCGGGTTTCCCTTCGTCTTTCTTTTTGCCTCTAAAATGTCGAGTATCAGAATGCAGCTTCCACTCGGCTTCTCGAGACAATCCGTCACTTATCACTCCCATCGTAGACTCGAGGACATGTAGCTTACTCGATATTGAAGCGAATAAATTATCATTGACAACATTTAGATATCGCTCTTTCAAAAACAATAGATAAACCAAAGAGGGCGCCATTCGCAATGCAGTGCTATGCCTTCGCCGATGGGGAAAAAAGCAAAAACCAAGACGTCCATCCCATGTGCAAAAATCATCCATCATCCACTTTAACAGGTTGCTTCCTCGTCCTCCGTCCAGACCCCCACCCAATATCCTCCAGCTCCCGCACTTCACCAACAAGCAAACCCGAGCTATCGGTTTTCATTTTCTTACCGGACAACTTCCCAGCATCCCTCAGGAGTTCCGCCCTCATGGCAGCCGCGTCGGGATCTTCATAATCCAGCTGCGTCATCTGCGGTGCCTGATTCTCCTCATCTTCATCCTCTGTATGAGGCGGGAGTTTATCATTCAGGAAATCAAATTTCCCACCACTGAGCATAGATGAGAGACTCTGTTCGGCACGGCTGTTGCTACGGGATATGGAGTTGTCTCTAGTCGGCTGAGCGCTTTCCAAGGCACTACCAAGGCCGTCGTCGTTAAGTGTGTCGATCGAGCTAGCGCGTGAGACGGGACGCGGGCCTTCTAGCATTCGGGCTGAAGAGTGGGATGGGGCGCGGCCAAGGAGCGGCTTACGCTTTCGTCGGGGTGGATTTCCGTCATCATTGGTCGGAGTACTCTCGGATTGCTGTCGTGACTTGGCAGCACGGGCTTGCTGGAGGAGCCCGCTCAGAGCGGTATCCAGTGCGGATGGGCCAATGGGTGGTGCTGAGTCGGTAATTGGCGTGGGCTGTTTGGAATTCGGTTCCTCTGGGGGTGGTTTGTCTGATATCCTGGCCGGGGTTGGAGAGCGAGACTCCGGAACAGAGGGTTTTGGTGCATCGGCCTCAAAGCCGTCGCCGACTATGGGTATTGTTCGACTTGCACCGATGTTCCCTAAACTTCGCTTCTCGCTCCTGTCACCATTCGTGGACTCGGTGGAGGTATTGTACGAGGAATTCGCTTTCCGTTCGTCAACATGTCTGTCAGATTGCTTTCGCTTAGCAGATAAAGAACCTAGTTTATCTGCGCTGCTAGCATTTTGGGGTAATGGTCGTCGAACAATGTATGGCTCGAATGGCTTCTTTTGGCCGGTTTGAATAGATATCCAGAGCCAGTCAGCAGACACTGTTGGAACCCCCCACTCGGCAGTATGACGTAGTTTTTCGACGCTGGCTGTTTTTGGATCATTGCAAATCAGAACGGATGCTTTTTGCGTTAGGAAATCACCATATGTGGCGCCCATCAACTCTACCAGTTTGCGTAGGTGTAAAAGATCGATACGTCCAAAGCCAGTGGAACAAATCCGCAATTCCGGAAATCCTAATGTCATTAGAGCATGTTTTGGTCCTGCACTTGATAGGATCTCACCTGGTATAGGGAACTTAGGGAACGGAGTGCTCGCCACATGAGACTCGGGTGGAACGAAAGCTCGAGCATCAATGCATCTCTCCAGCCACATCTCTGTCACGACCTCGCATTCAAAAGCCATTTCATCTGTTGACGGAATCGCTGACCTGGGGGTCTGATACGGCACCATGATGAACAATCCATGCCCTGTTTTGGGAATAGTAGGACTAGCGAACTCATTCAGTGACTCCACCAACTGAGCTCCGTTATAAGTGAGATGCTCACGGAGAACTTTAGTCTATAAAATCCATTAGTTTCAAGAAAATGTGGGCAAGGGCATGAGCACAAACCTGCTTGGAAGAGAATCCATTAATGAAGAAATAAGTCATATGTAAAAATCCATTGTCTTTTGGTGGAGCAGCCGGTAGTGGAAGACGAGACTGGCTTTCAGAAAATGTAGTCTCGCTGGCGAATGACTGATATGCCTGTATGATAGGCTTCGAGGACTCAGGTGGTCCTTGTGCTTGTGGGTTCTTTTGGGGTCCAGTCGTCTGGTTATTATCGAATCCTGTTCCGACGATATCCCCCCATATGCTTTCATTTTGATCTACCAGCTTGGTACTTGCAATCCTGCGTAGTTTTCGAGGTCGTGGATTTAGAGAGTTCTCCTTTGTAGTGCTGTCCCTTCGAGAAGGCTCCCTCTCTGTTGGTGAGGATCGATTCCATGCCCCGACACCTTGTTCTGCAGGTGGCACCAGCGGGTGATATTTTTGCTCATCCAGGATCATTCCACGCTCGATGCTGTCCGTAAACCATTTTACCGAAACAACTTTGATATTCCATTGTGTCGCGAATTTGTATTTTTCACCCTCCGGGTTGCGCGCAATAAGATGTGTTACAGTTTTGGTCAGGTCTTTCCGATATTCAGCCCCATTCTCCTCGGTTGTCTTCTGCATGTAGGCTCGGAAAGGAACTGCGGCGCATTGGTTAGCGTTGCTCCATACTCAATTGTGGAAAACCAGCCAACTCACGGTCCGAGAACCCAGTGATGCAGATTTTGAGGCCATACAATGTTGCCAGTCTGAATTGTTTCTCCAGCGCCTGTATGTCTGTGTCCTCTCCCTGCGTCCATGAGTGTCGTACCGCCTCGATCCATTCTGGGTTCATTGCTACCACGTCATTCCGTTCCCTTGCAACGAATTTGTACTTGTCGCTATTCGTATCACCCACAAGCAAGTGGGTTACGTCCGAAGTAAGATGGATACTGTGCATCGCGCCCATTTGTTCCGCCATCTGAGTCAATGGAGTCTGTGCAACGGGAATACAGGTCAGCCTCTGTTTGGAGCTTCACACGTCACTGAACCTATCTGACACATACTCTCTTCTCAATTTGTACAGATGTAAAGCAGATGACTACACCCGTCAGAGGGTAGTCTTTGTCTATAACATGACTGGTTAGCAATCGTGCTCGAATTCGAAAGAAAAAGCCGATTCACGTACTCGAGACAGCCATCCCTGCCATTCCTCATGGTCGCAGAGTCCAAGCTGCTTCGATATGGTGTGATTGGCAAGATCCTCTCGCGATTGGTAGTTGATAATGTCTGGATTCTGCTTTCTCGTCCCGCGTGTTTTGCGGCAATTGGTGATCACGTGATATCGTGTCCGCTCGCATGTTCTTGGGTATACTTGTGGGTATACTTGAATGCAGGTACACAAATTGCACTTGACTACAATGATAGCCTACTTTTCTATATCTAATTAAATAATAAGGCGTAATAATGCGCAGTTTAAGGCTGTTTGGAGCCAATGTGTTGTGCACATTGAATAATTAATCCGAAGTAAATATTCAAGACAACTTAGGATAATATGGTCGTTTATTTACCAACAAAAACTTTCTTCTTCGACTTCTTGAATACTGTATAGTAGATATAAACCCAATAAAGCGATGCAACGTCTTCAAATATATGATAAATACAAACCCACTGAAATAAATTCATATTCAATGTTGTTCGGACCTAGACCTCGGTGGAGCTGTTATCCTTATCAGTAACCTGTCACGTGTAGATAATCGCGTCTGTAACGCGTTGCGGAAAATCGATCTGCGTCCCTATCGGAATTGTCTGGCGCGACCTCATTGTCTTGATTTGCATTCTGCATTTCATTTTATGCATTTTGCCAGATTTAGGGCGCGGGGTATACACATAATTGGATCGATCTCTTTGACTTCCCCAAAGAGACTACCGAGTTCATTTGCGTATTCATCCTCATCTCGACCCGCCGAAGCCCCCGAGAAAATGTTCAAGAAAGCTCTCCAAGACCACCCAGGTAGTGGCACGAAACCTCTTCACCAGACAGACTTATTGCGTGCCAATGCAGCGGTTCACTCGAAATCACAACCACAATCTGGTGGCGTCAAACGAAAAATTGAAGTGGCCCAGTCCTCGTTGGGGTCCCTCCATAACGCGGTATATTTCGATGAGAATGACTTCGATGATGATCTGGACCTCGATGAGCCAGAGCCACTGATTGCGCCGAGCGTTTCTGGCTCCGCCATCTCTCAGACAGTCACATACCCAAGCTTGAACACTACATCAAGAATTGGTCAGGCTGTGTATGGCAACGAAAATCCAACAGACGTCAATTACCCTGATCTTCCATCCATATCCCAAGAAGCAGCAGAAGCCCCCCTAGCAGCATGCAGTTACCGTGGTCATCATCACCGCCCTCCCATTTCCAACCGCCCGTCAAGAAACCTCGTACGCTTCCGTGGACTAAAGAGGAAGAGGAACCCTGCGATGACAAGAAAAAGAGCTTTGTGACTCCCAAGCGTTCAAGACCCGCAGAACCATGGAACAAGTCCGAGAGCACTATCAAGGCAGAACAGAAAGAGTTGCGACAAGAATACAAAAAGACCCAAAAAACCGACGCGAATTCGAAACCAAAGGAGAATTCCAAGATTGCCTCTGTTTTCTTGAGTGACGAGCAAAGAGCTGTTCTTGACGCTGTTGTCGACCGCGGAAAGAGCATGTTCTTCACTGGTTCTGCCGGAACGGGAAAATCAGTTCTCATGAGAGAAATTATTGCGAAGCTGCGCAACAAATATCGCAAAGAACCCGATCGAATTGCAGTCACAGCATCAACAGGTCTTGCGGCCTGCAATATCGGGGGTGTGACTCTCCACAGTTTTGCCGGAATTGGTCTAGGCAAAGAGCCAGTGCCCGAACTAGTCAAAAAGGTAAGCTTTTCATTACTCACCCAGGAATTGCTGATACTAATAACCCCCCAGATTAAGAAAAACCAGAAAGCTCGAAATCGCTGGCTCCGTACCAAAGTCCTTGTTGTTGATGAAGTCTCCATGGTAGACGGGGATCTATTTGATAAGCTCGAAGAGATTGCCCGACGAATTCGCAACAATGGCCGTCCCTTTGGAGGAATCCAGCTTGTTGTAACAGGCGACTTCTTCCAACTACCCCCCGTCCCGGACGGAAGCAACCGGGAGGCAAAATTTGCATTTGCAGCTGCTTCCTGGACAACTTGTATCCAACATACCATTCTTTTAACCAACATCTTCCGTCAACGAGATCCGGAGTTTGCTGATATGTTGAATGAAATGCGATTGGGGAAAATCACCCCTCGCACGATTGAGGCCTTCAAAAGGCTCTCTCGTCCCCTTGATGTTAAAGACCAGATCGAAGCAACAGAACTGTATGTTTTAATATGTGATTATACTGTGCTAAAGCTGACCCTTGATAGGTTCCCAACGCGCGCTGAAGTGGATGGTGCCAACTCTGCACGAATGGGGAGACTTTCTGGCGAGATTATGAGGTTCAACGCGGTGGATTCTGGGACAATCCAGGACCCTCAGCATCGCGAGAGACTGCTGGCCAATTGCATGGCCCCTCCCATGATTCAGTTGAAGAAGGGTGCTCAAGTGATGCTCATTAAGAACATGGAGGATTCGCTTGTCAATGGTTCTATTGGAAAAGTGGTAGCCTTCATGAGTGAAGATTACTTTGATTCCTACAAGGAAAACGACAAAAATTTCACTGACGACGCGACTGCAAGCGATGATGAGCGGGCTCATCGAGCTCGGAAAAAGCTCAAACCCATGGGCTACAAAGAGGGCCCAGCCTCAATGGCTCGGAAATGGCCGCTAGTATCTTTCCTTCAGCCTGATGGGTCAGAACGTCACTTATTGTGTCAACCGGAGACGTGGAAGATTGAGCTTCCTAATGGAGAAGTGCAAGCCCAGCGTCAACAAGTTCCGTTGATATTGGCGTGGGCGCTGTCCATCCACAAGGCTCAGGGCCAGACTCTTCAACGTGTGAAGGTTGATCTGGGCCGAGTGTTTGAAAAGGGCCAGGCTTATGTTGCACTGAGTCGAGCGGTGTCACAGGAGGGACTCCAGGTTACTCGATTCGAGCCTCGAAAGGTGATGGTGCATCCAAAAGTGGTAGAATTTTACTCCAAACTTGTCACGATCACAGAGGCCAACAAGTCCAAGTCATCAAGTGCTTTGAACCCAGATGACTTTGATGATGATGACTTTTGATTCATATATAATATTACAAGGTTTCTTTTCATTTCCCAGGTCAGAAAGGACATAGATATGTATCAAATACGTCTGATTACTTATGCATAATGCATTTTTTTATCATCAATAATACGCAATTACTTCAAACTACATCCATGGATTTATTGAACCTACCTTGCCCTAACCTTCTCCGGGCTTGCGCGGGTGCTTATCACTTATCGCGTATCGATAAGATATATCACGTGCCATACTATCCGATTGTCTCACAGCTCTTTTGTCCTAACTCTCTCTAGGGTCATCTGAAGTTTGACGCGCTTTCCAAGCAAATACAAATTGCACGCTTGATGGATGCTTAGCTGGATTACAAAGGCTCAAAATCATCATGGCTTCCGAATTTATTGGCTACAATGTGCTGGTGACATTGAGAGAGCCACAGGGTGGAAGGCTCGTGGGCCAGGTCGCCAATGTGTTCGGCCAGCGCTTGCTCCTCCAGGATGGTGAGCTATGGATGAGTTCACATGTCATAATAATAATTAACCATTTGATATTTAGTCACTTTTCTCTGGAATGGTCAACGCCTGCCTCAATATTCTATTGACGCCTCTGCTATCATCGACCTCTCTCTTGAAACCAATACCCCGGCTCCTCCGCAGCGTCAGCAACTACCTCAACATCAACCTAACCCCCAGCTTCAAACTTATGGAGCAATGCCTTTGCCCTCAGTTCCCACTCAATCTACTCCAACACAGCAACAATTTACGGACCCAGCTATTCTGAGTTTTTCAAAAGCCCCTCTCATATCTAAACCGTTTGTTGAAAATGTTTCGACAGCTGTCCCCGCCAACCAAATCCCTGGTGCAGTCTCCGCCTCTTTGAGCGAGCCATTTAGCAGCCTGGAATTGAATGCAGATAGCGACAAGACTGGAATACAAGGGACCTCCCACAAGAAATTACTCCAAAGCCCGCAGGAACTATCACCCTCAAAGCAGACGCCAAAGCGGAATCGACGTGGCAACCAAGAAAATGTACGGGAAGAGAGAGGATATGTCCCTAAACATGTCGCTAAACATGGCGCCGCAGCAAGCACCAACCCAAAGAGCAAGGGCTGGCGCCAGACTGCATTTGTGGAACCAGCTGCCCCTGCATTCCAGGATTCACCTGAAGCTATGAGCCGGTCTGGAACTAAACTTCGCAAAAGAAGTCACGCCGTTATGCCGAGGATCCAAGTGGCTGGGCAACCGAAGATGCTACTGATATTCAAGAGCTGGGCGAATTCGACTTTGAAAGCAACCTGTCCAAATTTGACAAGCGGACTGTATTTGAACAAATTCGAAATGACGACACTACCGCAGACGAGGAGCGCTTGGTGAGCTTCAACCGCAAGGTCAAGCCGGGCACCAACGGCGGAAAGAACCTACACTGGACGGAGAATGTACTCGATAGCCCACAGAACAGCGACACCGGGGATGATATCGAAGGAATTAGTGAGATCAAACTGGGTAGCGATACCCTCTCTGGACGCGAGCGGTCAAGGGCGCCTACACATGCTCAGCCTCCCCGCAAAGACAGCGCGATACAGGCCCCGGCAATGGTGCCACAGCTCAGTGCGCTTGGTCGCAGTCAGCTTCACGTCAACATTTCTCGTACAACCAGCCCTCGGCCAAGCCGATCGTCAGTGTCGCCTATGGTTGCTCCTAATGTTTCTGGTGCTGGGTCTCTCCGGCTCACTACCACCAATCGTAGCTGTCCCACGGTGAGCCCCTTGCAGACTCTGGAGATCGAGCAAATTTCGGTCGCCGAGTTTGGATTGGCCGATGAGATCATTACAGAGAATGCAGGTCGGGGAATAGCAGAGGCCGCTGTAGCTCTTCTGTCCAATGATGCTGCTGCGCCCACTATGCTTATCCTTACTGGCAACCATCGCACCGGAGCAAGGGCCATTGCTGCTGCTCGCCATCTGCGCAATCGGGGTCACCGGGTTACAGTCTGTTTGCTCGGACTTGAGCACGAAGCTGAATTGCTGGAGAACTGCCGCAAACAACTTGATATTTTCCGTAAGGTTGGGGGACGCGTGCTCAAATGGGAAGAACTATCCGCTCGTTTGGCCACCTCAGACCTGGGCCCCGACTTGATTATTGACGCCTTGTTTGGCATGCATCTTTCCTTTGACGACCTTCGGACCGACGACCAAGGCGTGGCATTTGAGATGATTTCGTGGATGAACCGCAGCAACGTCGACGTGTTGTCTGTGGATGTACCCTCTGGACTCAATGCTTCTACTGGTAAGTACTTACATAAACATTTCCGCACAGGTGTGGCTAATACAGCAAACTCCATAGGCGAGGTTACTCTAGCCGAAGGTGGCCGGCTTTGCGTCAATGCCACATCTGTGGTGTGCCTCGGAGCTCCCAAGACTGGTGTGCTGAATGCTCTGCTGTCTGGCGAAAGACTGTCCTGGAATTTGGCAGTTGCCGACATCGGAATCCCTCAGATTGTCTGGAGAAAGTACGGAACCCGTCGTCGCCATGGAATTGATTTCGGGAACAAATGGGTTGTGCCATTGAAGTACCAGCCCTTGCTTTCCTAAACACAACCACCCTTTCTAATCATATGAATTACCACGATTTACATTTTCATCAGAGGCGTTTTCAATTTGCGTGATGATTCAGGCGGAGCTGGTAGCTTCGTCCACAGCGTTTGTTTTAAAAAATGATGCATGGGCTTCCGGGATTTCCAGCGAGGATAGCACTTGTACATGTATGATTATCTAGTTACCGGCCTTCTTCTGACCTCAGGATCAGGGGAAAATGCCCCAAAAAATCAAAATGTCCAAGTCAGATAACCAAAAATGGAATTTTAAACCCATATCTCCTCTTTTATAACACTTGGTGATATGCACCCGAGTAGGTCATAGATCAAGAGACTGAATAAGCTGGCCACCCAATACGAGGCGATTCAAACATCCCCCTTAGACATTTAGAAAGGATTGTATTTCTTCTTTATCTAAGGGTTCTCATATAGACTTGTCAGCAGGGAGATCGGGAGTCAGATTAAAATATCATGTCTTCCTAGCCGGGATTCCCTGGAGACGACGAACGGGGTTCTGACTTGAGAATTGAAGAACTAGTTAGTGACTAGTATGAGTATGTATTACCTATTGTTCCTCAATAACATACGTCTCATTGTGTAAGGTCTCATCATAATTCATTGTGGTTTAATGCTGTTCTCTCAATACTCGATTTACTTTGACTACACTTCCACTTCTTGTACAACCTCTTATACAATTACTCCATTACTCACTCGCTAATCCTGTTTGAATGTAATTAAAGCTATTGATGCTCTTTACAATAACATTATACAATATCACTTCCACCTCACATATGGGTTCGTTTCCTCTCAGTTCGCTCATTCTCTATTGTTCTACTTCTATACGTCCCTAAAACTACAATAGCTACTCATAATGTAGACGTTTACTTGAGGAAAGATATAAGATTCCATTTACGTCCTCTCCAGCGCTTCTTTCTTCCCTTCTTGATCGTCAACGATGGCTCCAACTCGCTCTCGACGAACTCTTCGCCCGCGCTGGTCGCATGGCATCACCAAGAGAAACGCCGCTCAGCGAGTTTTCAACATTCCAGAGCTGGTCTCTGAGATTGTCCACTGGCAGGTCCAGGGATTCGACGACTTCATCTACGAGAAGTCGCGGGGCATCGGAGGAAAGAGGCAGTGGGTGAGGCCAACGAAGTATCGGCCCTGGAAAATGGGCCTAGGTACCAAGCGGGAGCCCTATGTGGAGGACCAGGCGGGTTATCTCTGTCAGTTTGCCTCGCTGAACCGGGCATGGTACACGGAGATAATCCACCGTCAACGAACCTGGAAGAACACTATGGGTGCGATGGACACGCCGGCTGTGCCTCGCTCACTTGATGTGATCTTCGCAAAGGTCCCAGCCCAATTCCGCCAACAGTACGCTGACCACGTTGAGCTGGCCTCGCTGGTCACCGTCGACGCTGGGGATGCCCGTGCTGCTGACGCCGCGCTGCGGGATGTTCGTTTCCCAAAGCTGCGGGTACTGAGATTGTGCTTGCGAGGGAGCAGTCGCGACTCTGACATTCGAACCCTTATGGATGGTGCTTATATCCCGCGCATCCAGGGCGAATCGATCACCGTCCTCTCCACCAGCAGCTATGGCGGCAAGGAGCCGAAATGGAGATGGCCTCTCCACGGATTGCCCGAAGATTGGGCAAAGTTGTTCAGACGGATTTCGGTATGTTTCTGCCACAGCTATTTCAATTAAAGATTTGTGTACTGATTCTTTCTCATAGGTTCTCTTTCCGAATCTCGAGAAAGTCGAGAACGGACACCAAGTCCTTGTCTCCGACAAGGTTGTCCAAAGCTTCGCTCGTCGGCACCCAGCCCTACGGACCCTTAAGCGGCGCTGCTCCGAGCATTCAATTCTGGCCTTCGATCTCCTCGATGAGCCTTCTCGGATCTGAGATCGCCGCATTTGGGCTTTTCCAAGGGTGGGTTTTCCACGAGTGTTGCTTCGAAAATCGTCTTATGAAAAGGGTGGGGGATGGGGGATGGGGGATGGGGGACGCAAATGGCCATCTCGGAGCGACTTGAGTACCCGAAGACCCAGCTCCCTTAGCTTGGGCACATGGATAATCCTGTTACACCAACTGATGGGCGTACACCGCATGATCAACGTTGACGCCTGGGACATTGGCATAAACTCGCCAGGGTTTATCCAATACGGCATACCACTACACATAACACCGCCAACGAGGAACATTTCCGACTCGAGGCGACGCCTGTCTCCCCTCCTCCCACAATGCCATTTGCAAGTTCTAAGTTCCTATGCTTTCTTCGCATATAATTAATGACTGTATATACTAATTCTCGTAGCAGGTACTTGGTTGGGAATGTCACTCGACATAATTTGCAAGAGACAGGACCCTACAGTCCAACACAACGCTACCGAGCGTCAAAATGAAGCCGGATATCCTCTGCGGAATAAGAGAGTACTTAATTCAAAGCTGCAGGAAGTGTCACCGACCTGCCTGGTGACCTAGTCACACCCATGAAGGAGTTCGAGAATACATCATCATTATCTTCCCCCAAGCTCTCAGTGCTCACAGGAAGACGACGAAGACGGACCAAAACGTGAATCAGATCATTCCAAATTACCACCTCAACCCTTTTCAACAACTTCCCGAAAGACACAAAAAAGAGACGATGAATGGGATTGAGTCAGTTCAGCGTGGCGCACAGTGCTTAAGATATCGTTTAAGATATCCAAGAGGATAGGCACTAGCAGCAGAGCATGGGATGCTCAATTCAAAATTTTCGATTTTCTCCCACTTTGAAGACACGACCCAGCCGTAGAGTTATTATACGAGCTGGATGCCGCGAGGACCAATTATACTATGACTATCAGCTATTCCGCAGAGCTCCCCGCCCCATTTAGTGGAGCTCGGAGTCGTAAGGGCCAGGAGAAGCCCCCAACACCGTCCCGAGCCGCCACCCGCATTCTTCACTAAATCTTGTTTTTACAACACTGGCTACTCCTGCCGTTTCTCATGTCGTAATGGCTAAGAGATCCGCGTCCAGAAAAGCCCAGCCGTTTTCCAGGAAGTGATGAGACAAGCTCTCACTCCTACAAAAACCCATCTCAATGAACAAAACGGCGTATAAACCCACTGTGGGACCCAATCAACAAGGCAGAAGGATCTAAATCCTGTCTGGAAACCTTCGTGCAGTGCGAACAACCAAATTTCAATCGATTTCCTCTCTCGAGTTCACTCGATGGAAAATCGATCACCTTTACACCCAAGGTTGAATATCACAAGAACAATCTAACTCTGCATACCTAAGAAGCAGCTATAGGCTTAGTCTAAATGAACCAAGTTCCCGTTCTTCCTCTTTTAGCATATGTAACCAAAATACAATTTATAACTAAAAGGGACATAGACCCCGTAGAGAGGAGATATCCCCATATGTGTAGTATATATATATATATACTTCCCCAACGCCGAGAATACAGGACATAACCTGCTTTGACTCAAAACTAAAAACCACCGCCGAACCCCCAGGCCTTGGGGTAAAAAGCCAATACCGCTTATTGGCATGCCAAACTCCTTTGTATCATGACGCGAGAATGTAAAATGACAACCATCTCAAATCTCCTGCGCATCCAACGCCCACACCTCCCAGTGCTGCAGAACCTCCCATCCTACCCGCCGCGTACGCCGCCTCCACACAAACCCATCATCGGTTAAGGTGTACGGGTAGCATGCAGCGCGGAAAGCCGCAGCATCCTCACCGTCTTCACGTCTATCGATATACCCGCAGGTGGGGGGGTCTGGGAGTTTCGCTCTCATCTCGATCGCGTGATCGTTTCCCCAATGTTGACGGCGGCAAGGTGCCGAGTCGTGTGCCAAGTGGATTTGACCAAGAAGATATATGTGTTGTCTGTGTATCGGGTGACTTACGGGCGACGACAGGCTGGTATGGAGTGCAGAGTCCAGCGCCGCTGGTACCCTGCGTGGGAGCGGGACTATATGTGGTTGTATCTGGGGATGCATTATCGCCATTTGTTGGTGATGGGGATTCTTTATTGGGCCCAGGTGGGATGGGGTCTTTGTAGAAGTCCCGCAGTTCCCAGGCTTTCCAGCCCATGCTGATGAGTTTGACGTTTCCGTAGACTTGCTTGTTGCCGAGGTCGTAACTTAACATCTCGGTCAGGATCGAGTCGTCGATGTCTACCACTTCCGCGAGAGTCCTCGCATTCGCGAATGCCTCTTCCATCACTTTGATTGCATCAAACCCTGATGTTACTCGTGAAGGTGGGGATAGCTTTAGTGCAGAACTCGCAGGTCCATTTGAAGACTGTCCGGAATTTTGGGGTATGAGGAGTCGGATTGCTTTCAATTTCCGGAGGAAGGGTATAAGTAGACCCAGTGATTCCATGCTGGCAAATTCGGTGGCGAGGGCGAGCTGTTCCAAGTTCGGACAGCTGTGGACGAGTCGCGCGATCATCCCGGTGGAGAGAGGCCATTTTGAGGGGAGAAGGAGGTGGCGCAATGTCGCGCCATGATTTGTGGTAATGTGTGATAGGTAGAGGTCTCGTACGTTAGCTATAGCATTGAGCTGGCTAGCTGGAGAAGCAGAAGTGATAGGCGAATTGGTTGCGTTCCCACTGGGCGCACCAGACAAATGGTGCTCGGATGTTGGGGGCGTGAGCGCGGATGAGACCGCGCCTCCGCCAGGTCGTGGGGAATTGAGCAAGTCGCTTGATTCCGATGTAACATTGACCAAGTATAGGCGCTCGAGTCCAGAGAAATTCCCGATGAACTCCGAGTTCCGTTTTGACACGGCATCCAGCCGAACGGATTTCATGCGGAGCTTGGCATGGGGCGGGACTGTTGGCCAGCTGCTCTCGACAAATGTGTTGACCAGACTAGAACCCTCAACACCACTGAGGAATGTAACATCTTCGACGGTAGTCGGATCAAAAGCGAAGTTGAAATCTTCAGTGTGGAAGGCATATAGATTCTGGAACGACATCTTCTTAACCGCCATGGGCTGCTTGCTTGCGATCAGCTTGCGGAAGTAATCATGCAGCGAGACGCTAGGCTCATGTGCATCTCGCATCCGTGGCGACCAATGTAATTTCAATTCGCGCAATTTCCTACTTTTATAAAGAAGAGTCGCAATATCATCGGGGTAGCAAAGCGGGTCTATATCGGTGATTTTCAGACATCGCAAATGGGGCATGCCCGGAATCACGAAAGTGGGCTGTGGATGACGACTGGACGGAAACCGGATCGTCAGGGATGTGAGCTTCGGCAGCTGTGTTAAGCCGATATAAACCGTGTCGAGCATTTTGGTGTTCAGTTCCCAATGGAAGCTTTCCAGATTAGTCATGCGATCGACCGCAGCGCGGGCGGCGATGTTCAACAACATCGATGCGTCGGGCACCCGGCCCACTCGGGCATGCTCCTCCAGCTCATGTTCCTTCCATTCCCCGCGTAGTGTAATTGATCGTACTAAGGTCGCATAAGATCGTGTAATAATCGCATTCAATCCCATCGTGAAGGGACTGGCGCTCCCGATTCCTTCTGGTCGTTCATCTCGATAGCGAATCTTGTCGTAGGAAGTCAGTGTTAGGCTCCGGTATAGCTGCGGCAGCGCCATATAATTGAGGACCCGACATGTTCGACATAGCCGGGCGAGGTCCCCTGTGTCGTCGACCTACGACATGGTTAGATGTGTGGAAATGCGATGTGCGGAGCTTCCTCTCACATGTGACACAATCTCCGCGATGAGATTCAACGGCAGAACCATCAACTGGGCACCTCCAGGTGGTTCAGTTATGCTCGCTCCGAACATATTTCTATTGACGGTCGCCATGATGCGACGTCTAATGTAAGGTGTCACATAAGGATATAAAGAATATGGGGGAGAAGGCACCGGGATAGTGAGTTTCCGAGTGAAATTTCGTCTCCACTTTTTTGTAAGCCTCTTGGTAAGCCACTAGGAACCAAAGGGAGATCGCTGATTGTCACCCCCCCTAAAAGTACTAAAGAAACTAAAAGAAGCCTATACAGAGTACATAGTCCTTGGGTATGCAAGGTGCAATATTATATTCAATCTCAAAATTATAATGGGTATCTTTCTAAGATGTTGAAATCCTCCAACACCTTTCCAAATAATATCAAATCCATATACTCCAATCCCAATGAAAATGAAAATGACCAAAATTGGGTAACAATGACCAAAGATGACTGTTTGTCAGGGGTTCATCTGCTTAGCCTCAATCAGCCATGTGCCCAAAATATGTGGCATCTCACAAAAGTTATGCCCGAAAGTGGCGTTTTATGAAGAGCCATGCTGTTCGTTGGAAGGTCTGTGCTCTGCGTGAGATTCGGCATCGGGTGGCCGAGTAGGTTCCGCTGACACATCGTTTCTTTCTTCCGAGTATGTCGTATCTGTCCAACTTTGTTGGTCGTAATCTGTGACATGATCATGGCGATCATTGCGATCCAAATGGCTGATGTCCTCGTTGACCAGCGCCGCGGCTTCCGGGTCATAGTGTAGGACATAGTCTCCACCTCCTCGCTCTACGTCTGCCTCCGTCCATGGAGCCGACGCTTGTGGTCGAGAAGGGATCACCCGCACAGGTAAGTTGGGACGATTGGAGGATGTCTCGTGATGTTGAACGGGTTGGATCGGTCGACTCTCTCCAGGTGGCCGGGTGTCCTCCAACAGCCGATTTTGTGGTGACCATGTGTGTTGGCCGCGACGACGTGCTGGAATAACAGTGACTGGTAATGGGCCGTCGGCATTTTGTGGTCCAGTGCCCAGTCGAGCTTTCCGATGGAGAGAAAAGAAGTGATCGGCTCGAGACCGGGCAGAATTTGCTTCTGCCTCGGCCTCTTCTGCTGCTGCAGATGCTCGATGTTCTGAGAATTCTTCCCCGGCTTGTGCAGACGCCACTTCTTTCGGTAGAGATGCACGTCGCCTCTTGAATGGGTGCAGGAGCACATGCCATCGCGGATCGGCCTGGACAATCTGCGGTGACTGCTCTCGGGTGTTTTGAACAGAAAGAGCATGACCATTTGGATTAGGAGTATGTGGCTCCCTGCCTTCCAGTTCCTTATCTTCGTCCAATTCCTCTTCCTCGTGCATATTTGGCATTGCAGCAGGAGGTGTAGGACTAGCCACTGAATGATACCGGACATTATACACTGTGCTTGTTGCACTAGTAGTATCGGCACGGCTGATCGGTGTGATCGCCGCTGGAGGTGGAGTAGGCCGGTTATCGTTTGGGTTCCGGGGGCCGACGTAGCAGCGTGGTTGTTTGGTGGTGGTGCAGCTCTTTTGTTTCGATTGCCGCGAGGTAATCCAGCCCGGGCTCGTAGAGGTCGATGGGCCAAACCCATCACGCCGCCCCATCCAGACGATGCGCCATTGCCTCCACCTTGGTCGTGTCCTTGGCCCGTGAAACGTGGCCAGTCGACTTCCTCAGACGGAGTGACTTCAAGCATTTCATCGCCGTCGAAAACTTCTCGCCCAAGAATTCCGTCTTTGGTTTCATCTCGTTCCAGCGCTTCAATGCGTTCCACCCACTCCCAAACCACCACACTGGCCGCGGCAGAACCAACCCATCGAATATAGGTACCCCAGCCAGCAATTTCCGGCTTGGCAATATCCAAAACAAAAAAGACGACGGGTATCAGAATGGCACATAGCGAAAGAAGAGCCACCAAGCAGATATTCCGCATCTTCGGGTGGAAAAACGCGTATCGGTGCTTAGATATCGAGTAGAAGATCACCCAAGCGGCATAGAGAAGGTTAAGTGACAACTCGAACAAGTAACTCAAAGCAGGAATGGCATCCTCGTATAGCCTGGGTCGTGTTGGAGAGTTCCTCGCCCAGAAATTATCCAAGATACTAAAGGTCGTATCCAACACAATCAACGCAAATCCAGCCCATTTGATCATAACTTTTTCCTTATGTCGCGGGAACAATCGAATCAACGTCTGGACCTGCGCAAGCCACAAGAACGTGCTCGATATGACGCGCACTATACGAATTTCCATTCCGTCAATAACCTCCTGGGAAAGCGCCTCTGCATCGGAGTACCCGTAGTCATACTGCCGCTCGGCGACTCGGAAGGAATCGACCGTGGCGATAGTCAACGAGATCGCAACCAAGATCGCAGCCACTTTCTGCAGCCATGGTCGTCCACCGACTCCGACAACCGACGAGTTCCCGCTGTATGAGCCGCTGATCATCCCATGGCGGCCGAGGAAATTGGCGCCGCCACCGGGGCCGCCAACGTAGAATGTTCGCGGTGTAATGAGAAGGATTATGACGAGGAGATAGCTAACGACAGTTGCGCAGCCGATGGCATATAGCTGTGGAGTAATGGAGGAATAGAATGGATCGCGGGTATCGAGGACGGCGGAGATGTGAACCTCGTCGGTTGGGGAGCCTGTGCAGACAGGTTCGAATATGGCGTTTTCAGTGAGAGTAATAGCATATGATTTATTGAGATATACGAGTCCTATAAAGAATTGGAAACTCGCAATTAGACACAGTTCTAGGAGGGGGCGACACCAAGTCTGCGACCGGCGGCCTGCAGCCTGCGGCCCAACGACCAAGTCGTCCAGGGAAAGGGGAGGAATCACATACCATTACTGGGCAAGACAACAGGCGTACAACCGGGTGAATAAGTCCTCGTCGTAGTCGGTGTTGGATTCGCCCAGATCTGGCGGGGAAGCAAGTGGAAGTCATTTTCCATGGTCGGACTCGAATATGAACGGCCTTGAATCGCCGTCCCTGAAACAGTTCATATACCGCGCGATTTCCACCGATGCGCCCGTGACACAAGACCCTTCACTGTTTAGACTTCCATTCTTGACTTTTGATCTCGTACAGACGTTGCGAGTCCGATGACCGGGGGGGCGATTAATGTCGGGAGGCGGGAATTGGAGGAATAACGACGGCGGTGTGAGATTAGGTAGGGGGCACGAGACGAGAAATATTTTTCTGTTTTGTCCAACTCTATGAGAAAAAAGTTAAGATCATAAGGGAAAAAAAGGAGATAATCTAAAGCAGCATTGAAGAATTAAAGGTGGAAATCTAGAGGGATGCTCCGCCCATTTCAAGGCTCGGCATTGGCTCCTCCACAAATATCCTGACGCTAATCGCACTACAAGATCTAAAGCTCTACACTCTTTTTATATCCCACTTCATATATGCATGCCCATTATATTCATATGTAACAAGTTCAACTAAATCAAGGGCCAAAATCCACTATGTCGACTCGTTGATCGAAATCCAACATATCCATCATCCATGTATCGCATCACTCTTTCACTGTCTGTACAAGATTCATCACAGGAGTTACTGATTTCCCATGGGTACCATCTCATTAAGAGATTTATGCCTGGGCTGCGAAGCCAAGGCGAGGTCCCTCGGAGTCGAAAACGACGTACTGGCTCTTGAGGAAGATATCACCGAAGATGGAGAAGCCAAGGCCAGAGTTGCTCTGGATACCACCGAAGCAGTTGGAGCTGCCAGTGCTGACGGGGGCGTAGTTGATGTGCTTTCCGGGAACAACGGCATCATAGTCACCAATGGTGACAGTGAAGTCAGGCAGATCAGCAGAGCAAGGGAAGATGTAGCCACCCTGGGTCTGGCTGTTCTGGGCTCCAGTAACCTTGCGGTAGTAGGCGGAGACAACAGAGTCGGGGAGCAGGAGAAGGGTGGTGCCAGTATCTATATGATTTCAAGAGATCAGTTCTGAACAAAAGCATGAATTTCCACACAAGGAAAAGGATAAACTCACCAGCAATTCCAGTGATAGAGCCGCCAGCAGAACCAGAGCCGATCTTGTGGCTGTCGGCGGTGAAGGACCAGAATCCATCGGAGTCGTCAACATCAGTGTAGGCGACAGATCCGGTGAACTTCTCGTCGTCAATGAAGCCGAAGTCATAGGTGCCAGGGGCACCGTGCTTCAGAGTCACAGCGAACAGAGGCTTGTCGAGATCGTCCTTGACGGTGTCGAAGAAGGTTGTCTGAGGGTTGGGGCTGACAGTGTTGATGGAGCTGAAAGCCAGACCCAGGAGGCCATCATTGTTCTTGTCCTCCACGAACTGCTGGCTAATCTTCTTGGCAGCCTCAACAGCCTGGCTAGTGGCCTTGACTCCGCCAACGACGACGGTGTCCTTGTAAACATCACCACTGGCACCGCTGCCATCACCGTATGAGATATCCCAGGTAGCACCCGTCAGCTTCTTGCCGGTGGCGCCAACCTTGTAGACAGAGTGGCCACTCTGTTCCGAAGAGGGGAGCTCGCTGGAGAAGACCCAGCTATATGAACTGTCAGTTGCTGCGCGCGCTAACCGGTCATGTCATTTCAATCCAACTTACAGATCAGCAGAGCCAGTATCGAAGTCCAGGTTCAAGGTGGTGTCGCCAACCTTGACGGGAGTGAGGTACTCGACGTCGTTGTCCTCGGGCGTAGTAATGGCAGAGCCGCTAACGGCAGCGGCATGGACATTGGCAGGCACAGTAGCACCGTACTTGGCCAGTGCATTGGCGTACAGACCAGGCAAGTTGACAGTCTTGGTGCCGGTAGTAGTCTTCTGTACCTGGTTCACAGTGAATCCAGCGCGAGGGCTCTTGACGGGCACAGCGGCAGCTGAGGCAACGGCCGAAAAGCAGGCGAGGCCGGCGGTAACTTTGCTGAAGACAACCATAGTGATGAATCTATCGAAGGATGGATAGATCTGATGGGGAATGAAGGCGATGCTGGAGAGGATGGATTCCATAAACAGCTGGAGGGAAGGCCTCCTTTATAGCTTTTCTGGTATATTCCATCCGCCGGCGTCCGAGAGTAGAAGACATCAACAGGGCTGACTATCGCAACATCCAGGAGAAGGTGGTGGATGCCCTTCTAGGAAGGAAACATGACGATCCATCAGAATGCAGTCAAGTCGAGGGGAAACATGGAGATCGTCACGGAAGCCATCGGCCATCCAGGATAGCGCGACGGAGTCCGCCAAGCGGGCGATTGAGGGGTCAAGGCAAAAAAGCACATATCGACAGGGTCTCAAAAAGCTAGATGGTATCAAATGGACCTGAGAGGACTAGCGCGGCCAGCGCACGAGCGCAGACAACGATATGAAATGTGGACACAAGCAAGAGTGCCCAGGGAGCTTGGTCATGACAAGCTATCTAGGTAAAACGGAGAAGTCCGGCCAAGACAAGGCGCTGTCTTGGAAGTCTGTGTCTTGGTACTCATTGGATGAAGACTGGTCGATCGCCATACTTGGCGACCCTTGTGTAAGAGGGAAATAGGTTACTCATTGGGTTAACCGATAGCGAGTAGGAAGTACGGAGTACGGAGTAGAGTGTAATAGATTGTCCTTCGACATAGTCACGCTGCATGGAGTGATTGTTCTGATTGTTCAGGCCCATTGAGACTAGCGAGCGCCCTGACGATCATCGCCCGTTATCTCCACGTCAACCAATCATCAGCCCCAAAGTACAAACAAGGTCACATCGCTTCATTGAGGTAAATTAGTGGCCTCATTGGATGAGACATTCGGTGAGTGAACCCTTTAGGTTCAAGCTTGTGTCGAGAAGGGTTGTCGCCGGGATTCTAGCTCTGCTAGCTCTGCTAGCTCTCAACCAAAACGAAAGTAACAGGTACAATCTCCGACGGGCATCCGTCCCTGCATTGCATGCTCTCCCAATCCCTACATGAACATTAACTTTCCAGTCCATGTCGGATGATGTGACCCCTCGCGGAGGATGACCAAATAGAGGCTCTTATCGCCTGCGCAGAAGGAATCGAAGGATCTAGCAGCCGTCGATATGGGCGATCAGTTCATCGTGGGCGTAGGATCAGCAGTAGCCAACACCAGACCCTACAACATAGGTGGCAGAGATAATTGAGTGCCGACGGGTACCGATGGAATTGCATTGCTGCTTATGGAGTGCGAAGTGATACTCTCATTTGGTCAATTCTTCATATGAGGATGAACTAAGACATAATAACCCAATACGGCAATCACCTTTATCTATGGAGTACATACAACATAATATGTAAGTATTATATTAGTATATTTACTCTCCAGGGTTATTCACACATCTTCAGGACTGTTCTAAAGCCAACGCCACCCGAAAGCTTCAACCCTCCGCGGTCCAAGAGACTGATATACCATGTGAAAAAAAAGATTAATAGAACTTATTTCTGCATGAAACCCGAGACCCCGCAATCTAATATCACCCCGACGGACACCGGCGGATAGTTATAGTGATTCGCCATATGGAGAAATAGACAATGGGCTGCAATGATAACACCATCGATTTTGTCAGACCATGAATTTCAATCTTACGAATATGAACGATATCGTAGAAGAAATGCCGAGCGGATCCCGCAGGGGTATATAATTTCAACGGAAAAATAGAAAAAGGTACAGACCATAAGCTAGACACCTATAAATAAAAATAAAAAAAACTCCACCAGAGCGTAAAAGATAAAAGACATCAAAGATAATGCCGAATTATTCATAATCATTATTTTCGTCAGAGATATTGGGACGATAACCCGGCCCCAGTCTCACCCTCGCCGTTAGTGTTTCCATCATACCCCTCATTGAGGAGGACCTCGAGCATGTCAAATTCGCCAAGCATGGGTCCAGTCCCACCAAGGCCCTGGTCAACCACTCCTGTGGAGCTATTGAAGAATTGATCAAGAGGCAGGGCAAACCAATCCGGGAGCGCGCCGGAGGTAGGATGGTGACCGTCGCCCATGCTCTGTGATGAGGCGACATGGTTTGGCGATGATCTCTCTATATCATTGGCAGGGAATGTCGAGTTCGAGTCGTAGTAGTTGTGATACACGGACGGTGGAGGCGGCATGAAGGATACGTTGAGGTTGGATGAGTTGATCGGCTGGGCAGGGATGTTCGCCAGTGGATCATGTCCTGACCCCATCGGGTGGCCTGCGGCAGGAGTATCCGCATATCCTAGACCCGCTGACGTCGCATCATGACCCTGGCTAGCGGACCAGGGTGTACTCGGGCCGTCACGACGAGTTGTTGAGTGCTCGCGCGATGGTGAATGAGTCCGAGAGTCGGGGACCGAGGTGCGGTCATGTCCCTCTCCGTCTGCACCCCGGTCATGTGGTGCAAAACGCAGGAAGCGCGTCCGGATGCTGCTGGTGAGAAGCTCAAGAAGCCGTGCTACCGTGTTGCTGAGATGCACGTCATCCACGACATAATTGCGTAGTGCCTCTACCGTCCGATCCTGCAGGTCTAGAGAGACTCGCACATCGTCTTCTCTAGCTCCCAGTGTGAAAGTCTATGACTAGTTAGTATTATGCTTGCCACGGTTGCCGCCAAAGACCATACCTTTAAGATGAAGATCATTCCAGACAAGATTCGGAAAAATGTTCGAATGGGTGCATGTCTGAGACGACCTTCGGGGACGAGGCCGTCCAATACTGTCTGCAGAATTTTGCGCGAGGAATCGATGACTTCCTGGATATAATGCTCATTGACACGATAGAGCTCATTCAACGTTTGGAACCAGCTGTTGCTGCTATTAGACGGCCCCGATGCTGGTTGGCCATTCTGAGTCTGGCTCTGATTCTGAGCGGACTCATTGGACATGGTAGTCCATCGATCGACGACCGCTTGTAGAGCAAGGGAGTTTATATAGAGACCTGATTCCATATTAGAGATTATCCTTCCGCAAATCAAGCTGTGTCAACTTACGGGTGTACTC